TAACACAACTGCCTAATATGTAATAGAGCACAGGTTCAATTCCCAGTAAGGGGATAGTTAGCTGATGAGAGCTAAATAGCTTGAAATAGATCTATATATATATATTCAACCAAACTTGGTACACAGATGACTTACTCTCTGGAAACAAATACTGTGGAGGTAAGACTCCCCTAACACCCCTTGGGGTCTGTGTTCTGTTACGGTACAGCCTGTTATGCCTTCAAATGGCTTCTACTGTACTGCCGTAAAATGGCTTCCACTGTACAGTGCAGTGGAGGTGCCATGGTAATGGCTTCACAGTACTCGACAAGGGGGCTCCTTCTGGTAAGGGGGAAAATCCAACATTAGAAATTACGTTTGGTCTGGAAATTTCCTCCTTTATAAATAAATACCTGGGCAATGCCAGGTTATCAGCTAGTTGGAGCATAAAAGACAAAAGAGATTCAAAAAGAAAAGTGAGAAAAATATAGTAGTATCACTTCCGCCCTTCTTTTCATCAAAGGCTTGCCATCTTAACTTTCCCCTTCCTCTTTAGTCATTTTTAATGCCCATATCCATAAATCCTCCGTTCGGTCTTTTCTTCTTTCAGCAAAAAGTCATGAACTTCCACCAACTGTGATTACTGCTATGCTTGTGTGTGCAAACATCTGTGCAAATTTATTTATTTGTTTAGTTTGTCAAACATGTCCGAGATAACAGGTTTAAGTATAAACATGGACATGAACATGAACACAGGAAATGGGTACAAATAAATGGGGACAGTAGGACAGGGACGGTAGGCACGCTGGTGCGTTTATTCATGCCCCCTTTACCGACCTCTTAGGAGTGGGGTGAGGTCCAAGCTAGACAGTTTAAGGTTGAAGCTGTGGGGATTTGAGGATGTAACAACGGAGTCAGGTAGAGCATTCCAGGCGTTGACCATTGTGTTGCTGAAGTCGTATTTTGTGCAATTGAGTTTAGAGCAGTTTACCTTGAGTTTGTATCTATTGTTTGCCCTTGTATTATTGCGGTTGAAGCTGAAGTAGTCGTTGACAGGTAAGGTGTTGCAAACAATTTTGTGTACTACACTTAGGTCAGACCTTAGGTAGCATAGTTCTAGGTTGTGCAAGCCCAGAATTTCAAGCATGGTGGCATTGATGCATGGACATCGCATCTAGCAGCTTTTCTTCGCTTCCTCCACCTTGGATGACCTTCTCAATAAAACTTCATGATGCTGCCGCGTTGACTTTTCCCTCCCCCCCATAAATATTTCTATTGTGTGGAGTCCAAGACACCATAAAAACCTGATCTCTCCCCAGTGTTTGCTCCTCTCCTTGCTTTCGAGGCCAGGCAACCCTTGGGACCCATGTTTAGCCGAGCTGCAGCTGCTCAGATTGTTCTGCATCGCTCTGACTGTTGTCTTGATCCTGTACCAGCTGTGGCAAAGTGGCAGGAGGGTCCTCTGTGCCTTTCCCTCCTACATTTGTCCCCCAGGAATGAATGCTAAGGCAACCTTCGTGCTAATGGGAGTGGTGTTTGCTCTGTTTATATACTAGTGCAGGGGTCAGCANTAGGAGGGGAGTGTTAGAGGGAGAAAGGAAAGTTGGAGGGGGTAGATGGGGTGTATGGAGGATGCAAGGGTTAGGTGGGGTTGTGAATGATGAGTTGGTTTCCTTTTTACTTGTTCGTTTTATTCCCTTTTTTCTTTTTTTTTCTTTTCTTATAGTAAATACCCTGTATATAAATAATTGCAAATGGAATGTGAAAATTGAATAAAATATTTTACACGAAGAACTTTGTGTGATCAGTAGGTCTTGTAATGGGAGGGTCATATCAGGCAGGGGTGCGCTACCGGGAATTTGCAGGGATTCGGGAGAACCTCTAGTTAAATTCTGTGCAGTTCGGAGAACCTACAAATCCCACTCCTGGCTGGCCTTACCCACCCCTCACCTCCCAGGAGTCCCCATGCAACCCATTTCAGATGCAGGTAAGTGCAGGGCGCACACGGAGGCTCAGGGAGGGTGAAAAATGGGCCTACCGGAAGTTCAGAAAGGCCGGAAACGGACCTGTTTCTGGTCTCCAGAGCACGGGGAAGGCGTTTTTGCCCTCCCGGAGGCCTGAGAAAAGCCTTAGAAGCCCGGGGAGGACAAAAATGCCCCCACCAGCTGTGGTGCAGGAGGCCGACTAGGCCACACCCACCATGGCCACGCCCACCCAGCAACCAGGCAGAGACCCCCTTGCTAAATTTTTTGAAGCCCACTCATGACATCAGGTAAGGGTCTAGTGAGGGTGCCAGGTATGGATCACGTTAGGTGAGGGTCTTGTGATGGGGAGGTCATGTCAGGTGAAGATCATTGGGTGATGAAGTGCTGTGTGTCTGCGTGTGTGTTTTGTGGGTCAGTTGAGTCCTTATAAGCAAAAGAACACCCACTCTGACATTCCCTAAATTCCGCTGAAGATGTTACCTAGCCTGATAATGAAACTTTGTGGAAACCAACCCACAAACTCAAGCGAACGAACCTCCACCCTCATCCTACACCCGAGCTACAGATATTGGCCACTGTCGCATTGCTAAGTATTCTGTTGCGACTGTAATTGTAACTGCAGTTGTATCCTGTTTTTCAGGCGGCATCTATGGAGCTGAAGAACACGTGGGTGTCAGAGATCAGGAAAGTCCTAACAGGGCAACTGGAAGCTTGCAGAGGTAGGAAGCCGTATAAATAGGGTGGTAGCTGGGAAACACATCAACACTGCACATTTTTTCCCTTTCTGAAAGCTATAAAGGGGGCCGTAGCTGGGAGACACATCAACACTGCGCATTCTTTCCCTTTCTGAAAGCTTGTAGAAACATATTCCAAGCACACTTCACTGGAGTGCATCGAGATAGTTCAAGAGAATCACTAAGTGTGCCTATAGAGAAATCAGTTGCACTCTTAATCATCCCTTTGAACCCGCAGAAAAAGCACAGAGGGGAACAGCCCCTCTCTCCTTATATAAGCGAGATGCAGAAGGCAAGTGACCCCTGGTTTTGTAGCCTCACAACACTGGTGTGCCATGGCAGTGCTACAACCAGCCTTGAGGAAGTAAGTAGGCAGCTTCATAGGTAGAATAGAAGAGAAGTGAAGAGAATTCCTTTATTGCCCAAGTGTGATTGGACACACAAGGCATTTGTCTTTGGTGCATAGGCTCTTAGTGTACATAAAAAGACAAGATACATTTGTCAAGAATCATAAGGTACAACACTTAATGCTAGTCATAGGCCACAAATAAGCCATCACAAAACAATCAATGCGATTATAAATCATAAGGATACAAGCAACAAAGTG